TATATATATATGTTTGTCTTTGTCGTTTGATTGATTAATTGTCTGTCTGTCTGTCTGTCTGTTTGTCTTTCTGTCTATCTATCTGTATGTCTAGTGTGCCTATCTGTCTATCTGTTTGATGCAAGCCTGTTAGTCTCTTTGTTGTTTCACTATCTAACTGTCTGTCTTGCTGTCTTTCTGTCTGTCTGTCTCTGTCTATCTCTCCCTCCCGTTCTCTCTTTTAGGCTCTCTTTCACTCCCCCTCTCCCCCTCCTCTCTCTCTCTCTCTCTCTCTCTCTCTCTCTCTCTCTCTTTCTCTTTCGATATTCATCTCAAAACGTTGTTTTCCACACAGTATACAACCTGAAAATGATCCTAGAGCAAGATGAAAAAAATGAAAATAGAAATAGCAGATTTCTTCTGATGCTCATGGGAATAGAAGAAGCCAGGAGGTCAATGTCTCTTTAATTATGAATGTGAGTTTTACACCCCCCTCGACACAATTTAGATCTTTTTTCTTTTAAAGACGGTCTTCGATTGTGCATAACAACATCCAAGTAATAGGACCCAAGATACTGAATAAAGTTTTCTCCCCTCAAGGGAATCGACCTGGATTCTTTTGTGTGCGTCGGCAAAGTACCTAACAGCTACACCGGGCCCACAGGCGCCAGACTCAACGCTTCTGGTTTACTATTGTTTATTGTTGGGACGACGCTTCTGATTTACTTTTGTTTATCGTAAGATCTACACCTCTGGCTCACTTTTCTTTATCGTTAGATCAACGCCTCAGAATTTTCTTTTCTTTATCGTAAGGTCAACGCCTTTCATTTACTTTTGTTTATCGTAAAGTACACGCCTTTGAATTTCTTCTCTTTATCGTGCGATCAACAATTCTGACTCACTTTTCTTTATGGGAAGATCAATGACTTTGACTTACTTTTCTTTATCGTAAGGCTCTCGCAGTCTCCTCATAGTGGTCTTGAAGCCCTCTCGTCGGTTCTCCAGAACATTGCCGAAGTAGTCATCCGGTGTGTAGGTGTACTGTATGAAAATACAGGAATGCGTCACCAGTTTAAACATGCATTACATGCAAACATAAGGTGCCACAAAATCTATACGTAAAATATGTGTGTGTGTGTGTGTGTGTGTGTGTGTTGGTGTGTGTGTGTGCATATGTGTGTATGCGTGTGTATGCGTGCGTGTGTGTGTGTGTGTGAGAGTGTGTGTGCATGTGTGTGTGTGTGTCTGTGTGTGTGTGTGTGTGTGCG